CTCTATGTCTCTCTCTGTCTGTCTGGCGAGGGCACACGCCCTATAGAGAAAACCTCTCAAAAAAAAAAAAATAGTGAAAGCCTCATCATCACTTGCATCTGAATGTGTTCTTCTGTAGTATGATTTGGCTTTTACTAAATAAGGTTTTAGATTTATATTTGTATTTTGAAGGTCTCCGTTCCCCATGACTTTTTGAGGTTCTATCAGAAAATCCATTTTCTTCATCTCCTTGGGTGTTATTTACAAATGAATTTCTAATTTTAATAATACGATTCTGACTATCATCTGGGACAACATAAATCTCATCGGGATAGCCTTTTTGTTTAAAAATTGCGTCAACGGGTTCCGCATAGTTATCTGTAGGATCCATATCTTCAGGATGTGCCAAAGGCACACGGGAAGTCTGTTTTCTTGGATTTTTACCAATACCAGCTTCAATTGTTTTCAAAAGGTTTGGACCCAGTTTTTTCACATTTGTCTTAGGTACAACTGGTTTAGGTTTAATGGGTGGAGGCACTTTATGGTTGCGTTCATGGTCATGACAGTTTGGGGTGCTATGAACAGGGTATTCATTTCCTTCCAAATCTAACCTGTATCTAGACCGGTCACTGGGTGTTGGAAGCAACTGTACATCATCCCCAATAGGACTGTAAGGAGGTGGTGCTTCTGTGTCATCATCTGAATCAGGGTAGTTGTTATAGGGATAACAGTCTCTGGGAGATGGTAGAAAAACATCTTCACTTTGATGGGTTGATTCCCTTGTACTATCAGACAAATAGGAATTTTCTATCATATTTTTTTTCTCTAGAACATCACTGAAAAACAATGTAAAGACCTCAGTTTGCCGATGATACTGAGATAAAGAATACAATGCTGTAAATTTAGCAGTGATCTCAGTTGCAATGTGTTCTCCTTCAGTCATTAACTCTTTGATAGCCTCATTTTCAAAAAAATCTGCTTGGCTGTCAGTAACTGCCACCAGTTGTACAGGAATAGTGTCCTGAACTTCTGAAAGAAATGCTCGAAGCATTCCCATTGACGCTTTCCGTTTGGCAGAGTAAACTAATATATACCCATGAACCAGCTCATCTTTTCTTACTCCAATTGAGGAGTGGTATGATAATATCGTGATCTGTATTCGCCTCCTTTTTTCACCAATGATTTTATCAAGCATTAAGGAATTATTCTGTCCAGCTTGAGCAGCACTGCAAGAATGAGAATCAAGGAAGGGTGAAAGAATAAGATCCACACTAAATGGATCACCACACATGGCACACATCACAATTCTCAAGTCAGCTTCTGATACATCCTTATTGGTAGGAACTGGGCTCACCACATCCAAATTGTGTTTAACTGATTCTAATACTCCTCTGAGGGCTTGCTTTATTTGGGTTTCATTAAATTTACGAGGGTATGTCCCAGCAGGTACATCTACAAAAGGACACTGTAACTTATGCTGCCTTTGGTGCCTAAGAATGGGCAGATTCTTACCGATGGAATCTCTCTGATTAGCCAGAATTAATGTAAATGGAAGATTAGCCATATATTTATCTTTTCTGATCTGAGAAGTCATGATACAACCGTGAACGGCCATGATCCAACTGCAAAATTCTACTGGCAAGTACCTGCTCCACTTTAATATCTGTACAATTTAGGCCACTAAGACATGTTTCTTTAGTGGGATGATAAACAAATCCTATATGCTTAAGTAGAAGCGATTCCCTATCAGGTGCAAGTTTCTGTAAAGCTTTATATCTAGGTTCTTCACTCAGAACTGTGTGAATTTCACTCATTTTATCTGAACTTGGTGTTGCATTAAGATCTAAATCATAAAAAAGTTCAGAATGTTCAAAGAGCATTTCCTGAAACTCTTCTTTGGCTTTTTCAACTATTTCTCGCTGATGCCTACCATATACCTCTTTGCTATCTGTCTCAGTGATATATTTGAAAGCTTCATCTTCCATAACAAAGCACATAACTTCCTCCCATGGCTGCCCAGGTGAAATAAACTGAATTTTTTCCAAGGTCTTTTTGAATTTTTCCTTCATTTCTACCCTCCTCTTCTCCGATATTAGATGTTGTACATGGTTTTGATAGACTTTTTCAGCTTCTAAAGTGCTCAAGAGGTCAAATGGGATCCGTCTATCATTAATTTTGTCTATATGGTCAGTTTTATCCCAAGGTGTTTTTTTTAGCACCACAAAACATAACTGGAAATCTGTTCTTTTTTCCATTAACTTCAAAGCTTCTGACCAATTCAAATGTTCAATCTCTTCTAGATTTGGCAAAAGTGTATTAAAAGCTCTTGGTAAAGTATTGATATATTCTTCTCTCCTTTTTCTTATATGTTCCTGTTTCAGTTGTTCTATATGTTTTGAGAATGTATTTCTGGCCTTTCTTGTTCCTTCTAAGTTGATGTATTCTTCATAATCAGGATGATTTTTTAATTTATTACTAACAGTTTTCCAAGTTGCATGATAATCTCTCACAGTCTGCACAAGTTTTTCAAACTTATCTGTTGCTGTTACAACAAGTTGTCTCTGTGTTTTATAAGCATCCAGATAGGGAATAATTTTAGGTTTTCCACGAGTTTTATCCAACATTTGTATCAGTGCAGTGAAACATGTCTCAATGTTGACATTAAATCGTGCTGATGTTTCTACTACAAGAAGGTTCTTTTTGTTTGAAGCAAATGCCTGAACTTCTCTAAGATAGTGATCCACACATTCATCACATTTAGTTGCTGCTATTATTACAGGTTTTTTTGATTTTGATAGCTGGACAAAAAGGTTATTCACAAATTTAAGTTGATCATCAAACTTTCTATTGCATCCCTGACTTACATCAATGCACAATAAAAATCCATCTACACTGAGCTTCCCTTCAGGCATTTGCTTCTGTTCAAAGTCTTGCTCCAAGCCTAGCTGATCAGTGCAAATGTACATGAGTTTTTCTGCTGACTGTAATTTAGAGGCAGCTGCACGTTTTATATATGGTTGCAAATTTGTACTCCGATGAGGCAAGAAAGTCTGGTCATCAATGAATTCTGTTTGCTCAATAACATGTATTTTGCATTCTACTCCATCTTCACCATTTTGTGTTATGTCACCCCAGTACAAGAAGTGATCATTGTTTACAACTCGTCCTCCAAAGTCAATGGTGCTAAGCACAGAAGTATGCTCTGGATAATATTCATCTGCTTTTGAGCGTACAAATCTATTGCACAAACAAGACTTTCCAACTCCACAGTTACCTTTGTCTTTTTCAGTCCCAGAGAGTCCAACTACACTGATAGTATAGGATGGGGGACGAGGCTCTTTGTTTTTTGCCATCATAACTCTCTTCTCCTGCTTCTACGTTCATAAAGGTAACCAGATATACTTCTCATTCTGAAAATAAAATCATCTCAAAATATAGATCCCAAATTTCAGAACTGTATTTGGTTCTTTGTATTTCCCTCATTTCTGTGCAGAAAGGTCTTCAAGATCACATGGATCATCTTCCTAGAAAGAGAAAAAAAATTTTAATTATAAATTACTCATAATAATTTACACATATTAAAGACATTCATAACAAAGTACCATGCAGGTTAATAATGCCATTACATATATTTTAAGAATTCACCACACAAGGGACCAGCAGATGGCATAATAGTTACATCACTGGAGTCCTGGACCCAGTGACCTAAAACTCACACCAGGTACCTGGGTGCATTTGTGTACATGCCCAAAATCCCGAGAGGAAAATGAAGAAGGGTTTATGGCATGGCCATCCCCCCCGGGGGGGGGAATGATTCCTCACTTTCTATCTCTCTCTGTCTAGTGAGCACACATGCCCGGTAGCGAAAATCTCTTTAAAAAAAAAAAAGAAGCAATCATCACACCAGTTATAATATGCAAGATGACTTCAACAATGAAGGAAACCCTAAATAAAAATAATTTAAAAATCTAATGTAATGTCTTACAAACTTTAAAATAAACCTCTATTAATCATATGCACATTTTGCCTCTAATTACACCTTCCTATGAGTTTGCTGAGGGAACAGCTAGTCCTTTCCATTCCTTTAATTTTCTTGCCTGCTGTGACTGGAAGCTATGTTGGTGATAATTAAAATGTTTTCTTAGTAACCCCTCACACCTTTAAAAAAAACAAAGCCTGCTTTTTATTATAGGAGTCCTCAAAACTTATTCCCATGGGGCCGGGACCAGCAGTTAGCGTAATGGCTATGTTGCTGGATTCCCATGTAGTTGACCATGGTTCGAGTCCCAGACCCAGTGGCTTAAACTCATGCCGGGTGCATGTGCGTGTGTGCCCAAGATCCCAAGAGGAGAAAGGAGGAGAAAGGATTGCAGCGTGGCCATCCCCCTTGGGGGTGATTTCTCGCTTTCTGTCTCTCTCTCTCTGTCTTTCTGGTGAGCACATGCGCCCTATATCAACCCCCCCAAAAAAATAAAACTTACTCGGTGAGCACATGCGCCCTATATCAACCCCCCCCCAAATAAAACTTACCACCATGGGGCCAGGTGGCACAACTAAACCTACATGGTGGGAAGGTTTTGAGTTCATACTCTAGGACCTCCTTGGGCATACTAGAATATATATTCATGTTCACCATCTAGCCCAGCTAAAACTGGGGGTGGATTGTGTCATGAAGACACTGTTAAGGATGTCTCTCTCCTAACACCCCTCCCTCTGTTGGAAGGAATGAATAAAAACAACAGCAATAACTTATGTCCTAAAATAGAAGTCCATATGAATTTAACAAGTTTTAGAATTTAACAATTTTCAGTAAATTTTAACACCCTTCTGTGAAATCTATTAAATTCTATGCCCCCAAACAATTAACATTTAAATTCTTAAACAAGGACATAGAATAAATGGTTAATCAACAAGCAGATCAGTGGTTCTCAAACTATCTCAAGTAAAGGACGAATTATTATTTTGTAAATGTAAGACCAATAGTAAGATATAATAAATTTTTAAAAAATTAAATTCAAGCCTTGGGGAAGCCAGTGGCATGGTGGTGAAGGCAGCTGGATCCTACATAGCCAATTGTGCAGTTTGAGTATCAGACCCAGTGGCATACCCCCTTCAGCAAAAACTAAAACAAAACAATCAAGTCTTTACCCTGTCTTTCCTATATATATATGAACTGTGAGGGGAAATTTCTGTTCATAAAGAATAAATTATAACATTAAAATATCATTTAAGAAATCCAAACCTCAATTTTTTGAGATATAAGAGACATAAAATTATTGCAAAATTATTTGTAAATGCTCTTGCTTTCTGAGTCTATTTCCTCTCAAGGTGATCAAAAAGCACTCAAAGACACTATTCTGAGTAGCACCAAGCAAAATAGTTTTAAAATTATGCATCTGAGATAATCTTTTAGAATATTATATACTAGCAGGATTAAATAATTTAAGAATTGCTATAAAATTTATGGGACCAGCCGGTGGCGTGGTGGTTAAGGTGCTGTACACTCCCTAATTCTGATTATTGCCACACCACAATCCCCCCCCCATTGTTCTCTAGCAACTTTGTCCTTCTCTGGTCAAATTAAAAATAAATAAATAAAGTTAAATAAAATTCTTAAAAGAAAATAAAAAAACAATACATAATTTCTGCCACCTCCAAATTTCAGAAGATGAAAAAAAAAATCCAGTAATGTACACCAACATACGTAAAACTGATCTTAATAAGGATGAAATAAAGAATACAAAGAACATGAAGGAAAAAAATTTAGGAAAGTTTAGAAAAAACCACTTCTGTGCCTCCCTCTTTCAATCTGACTTCTCTACTGACATTAATTGCAAGTAAACATCTATTATGATTCTACTGCTATACTAATAGTGAAAAGAAACTGTTATTGCTATTTAAAACCTTGACTGGGGTTGGCAGGTGGTGTGGTGCTTAAGGGCACTGGACTCCCACCTGGCTGACCATGGTTCAAGCCCCAGACCTGGCAGCTTGCTTTCTCACTTTCCCCTGCCCCCAACTCTGGTCAAATTAAAATATATAAACAATTAAAGTTAAGTAAAATAATACATAAAACCTTGACAAATATTTCTGGAAAAATTATAACAATTTTTTAAAAATAAGATATCATATTTATTCCTGTACTAGAAGTTTATTCCATTAGCCTAAACTAAACAGTAATTTTTAACAGTCAGAGAGCTAATAATCAAATGAAATGTGTTTTAGGATCACTTTTGTAGTAAACAAAATATGGCAATTGATATATAATCAAGGTGTAACACAAGGAACTGGAAATTGTAAATAAATAGCACTGGTTCCAAACTTTGACTCCTATCACTTACTACTTGATGACTATAGTAAAGCCCTAACCCTCTTAAGACATGGTTCCCTCTCAATAAAACAAGGCTGCATAGCTATACAAATTTAACAAATCATTCTTTCAAATATGACATGTTTAGCAAACAAAAGAGGCTATTATTAATAAATAATAGTTCCACTTCCTAATCTGATTTCTGGAAACATGGGAACCTGTTTATGATTTATGAAAAATGAAGTGATCAGATTTTTTAAAGGATTATTTAATTTTATTTATCATTATTATTTTAAAATTTGCTACAGGGAGCATGTGCTCAGCAGAGAGAGACAGGGAGAGGAAAAGTGAGAAAGAAAGCCATCAGGTTCAGGACTCAAACCATGATTGGCCATGTGGGAGTACAACACCTTAGCCCCCATGCCACCTGCTGGCCCCGTAATCAGACTTTTGATTTAGAAATATTTATCTGGTGGGACCAGCAGTTGACGTAATGGCTATGTCGCTGGACTCCGATGTAGCTGACAGCGGTTTAAGTCCCGGACCCAGTGGCTTAAAGTCACACCGGGCACGTGTGTATGTGTACTCAAGATCCCGAGAGGAAAAGGGATTGCAGCTTGGCCAACTCCCTTAGGGGGTGATTTCTCACTTTCTGTCTCTCTTTCTGGTGAGCACATATGTCCTATAGCAAAAACCTCTCAAAAAAAAAAAAAAAAAAAGAATCTGGCATAAGTATATAAAATTACAAATAGTAAAGAAAATTGGGGCAGTCCCATCCAATCATATAATTTTTTAAAGAATTATTTTATTTAACTTTTTAAAATTAACTAATTTTGATTTGATGAGAGGGACAGAGTGAGAGAGAGAGAGAAAGGGAAAGTGAGAAAGTAAGCCACTAGGTGCAGGATTCAAACCACAGTCGGCCATGTGAGAGTTCAGTGCCCTTAAAAACCTTGCCACCTGCTGGCCCCCAATCAAATCATTTTAATTAAGTAAAATTATTTTTAAAAAGCTTAATTTGGCCAAACTGAATATTTACACCATCAAGTTTAAAATTATTTATCTATCTAAACAGTGTAAAACAAGTAGACTAATTATGAATATTTGACAGAAAACATAGCAAATTATCTGAATAATGAGGTTTACAATGATAAACATAGGAAATCAATTAGAAAATGAAAATAGAAGCTATTTGTAGCTAACAATTATGAAGCTGAAAGCACAATAGAATACAAGTTCTATTCTTACTGACCCAAAAAGCAGTATCTGCACATGATATACTTTAAAATGTACATTAAGGGCAGTATGTGGCGCAGAGGTTGAGGCAGCTGGATCCTACATGGCTGATTGTACAGTTTGGAGTCCTAGACCTGGCAGCCTGAGAAGCACACTGAGTGAATGCCTCCAAATCCCGGAGAGAGACAGAGAGAGAAAGTGAGAAATCATCCCTTCCCTTTAAGGGGGGATGACCACACTGTAATCCCTTCTCCTCCCTTCTCCTCTTGGAATTTGGGACATACATGCAAGGCATGATTTTCAAGCAGCCAAGTCCAGGTCTTGAAACCTGGTCAGCCATGTGGAAGTTCAACACCTTAACTACCACGCCACCTTCTGGCTCCCTATATACTCTTTTTGTTTGTTTGTTTTTAAAGAGGTTTTTGCCATAGGGTGCATGTGCTCACCACAGAGAGAGAAACAGATGGTGAGAGGGAAATTGAGAAATCTCCCTCCACCCCCAGTGGGAATAGCCATGTCCTAATTCCTTCTCCATTCTCCTCCCAGGATCTTGGGCACGCATGCACACGCACCTGCATTATTTTGAAGTCACTGGGTCCAGGAATCAAACTGTGGTTGGCCATGTGGCAGTACAGCAATAAAATCGCTATACCACCTGCTGGTCCCACTATATGCTATCTTTAATGGAGTTTCAAGAACATGAAGAACATGATTAGTGGCTTTCTGCATAATAAAAAGTCCTACAAGGAATCTACAAAAAAAATAAAATTCTTAGTTATTCAGGATTTAAAGTGCTTTTGTTTTGTAATTTTTCATAAAACTTCTGTATTCATTAGGAAATGGTACAATTTTTAAAATATTCTATGCTGGGACCAGCAATGGTCACATCGCTGTACTCCCACATAATCAACCGCTGTTTGAGTTCTGGACCTGCTGGCTTAAAACTCACACGGGGTACGCATGTGTACATGCTAAAAA